CCTAAGATGTCTCCACACACAACGCTTCCGTGACGCCTGTTGGACCACCACTCCACGACCCCCTGACGGAGACACGATGATCCTCCCAATACTGGCCAGTTATTTTGTAAAAAACATTGATTATGTGTTTAAGGAATATCCTTCCTTCCTTAGGCTTTAGTAAGCCCCTTTATAATATTTATGCTATATATACTTGTCACACTTGCCAGATGCATCTGGTGTCATTGTACAGGGGTACCTAGTGACAGCACTAGGATCCCGCTTCCTCTATCAAGGAATAAACAATTGAAATTGAAAATTGAACTGCACAGGCTAGCTAGTGCAGCACTCATACTGTATTCCTGTCAGAAGTAGTGCTTGGCAGAGATGCCAGGTACGATGCTGTTACCAGCTTTGGACTTCTGACCCCAGGACTCGGCTGAATATGCTGTAAATGTTGTTCCTCTTTAATGGTCGTTAATTATGCCTGCACATCTCTTCATTTCCGATTTAATGGAATATTTCTGCTGGTTACCGTCATTTAATTTGGTTTATTTTAGGCATGATAAAGGATTAATGTGTGGCTGTGCATTATTGCATTTATAATGTGCTTGGTGGGATTTTTTGGGTGGAGGCCATATGTGTTTTCATAATGGAGTTTTGTTTTCTATGTATGATGATATTTAACCTTTCAGGAGCAAAATAAGGAACATGTGCTGGAGGTGTGTGTCATCTCTGGTGCTTGGTGGCTCAAGCTATGCGAGCAGGCTGCATAGTTAATTGTTTTTGCTGTGTATTCATACACCAGGCCACGTGAAAGAGTTCTCTCTGTCTGCTTTGATCTGTTGCGTTGTGTGGTAGTGTCAATACTGTGTCAAAATGTTTTTTGTAATGCCTCCTACTCATTCACGCATTTTATACACACACAATCACAAAGTTTAGCAATTATTAAAATATTTGTGTCGGTGTGTCTTTATAGTAAGTGAATTTTTTACACCCATGGTGAATCAATAACTGAGCAAGAATTATAGTACAGTACTCTATTTTGACCTTAACATGCAGAGGTCAGCTTATCTTGTGTTTTTTCACAGGAAGATTACTAAAAGATGTGGCATCATATGGTATAAACGATATATTTGCTATTTTTTACAGTATAATCACAGTCAAGAGATGTAAGCCTGGATTTGTGCACCATGCAGTGAGTGGTGTGTAGTGGAATTCTCCCCTACAAACGCTGTTTGTCGCTGCCTAGCCGACCCCACCAATTCCCCAGTGTATGCCTCGTGGTCTAGGTCAACCAGCGCCGCCATACACCACGGAGCGGGGGTCAACTGCTAAGCCACGCCTACCCCCGCTATTTAAGACCTGACCTCGTGGTGATCTGTCTCTCCTTCTACCTACACCAACCAGCCAGCAACACCTCCGCCTGCCTGGCGGTCCTCTCTCCCGCTGGCGAGCATGGCGACCCACAAGCTGTCCTTCTCTGAGCGTCCTCACCAACCAGCTCTCTACATCACGCTTGTAACCATGCTGCCTTCCCAGCACCAAGCTGCATTGTACATCCAATACAACATGCATATAGAGAGCACATTGTGAGTTTCCTTTCTCCATCCCATCCTGAGTGTGAACCAAACAATCTCATACCCCACAAATGGTGACTCCCGGAGATTCGCACTCACACAGGATGGAGGAGAAACTGATCACGCTCCCAGTCTTCAAGCAACATGGAAGACTGGCTTATCCACCCAGAAGCAGCTCTCATCGGCTCTACAACTACTGTCTCTTCACCGCAGGTTAGACACCCTAGAGCAGCTCTGCTACTCTAAGCAGACACCAGCTCCTCTTCCTGCCCCAAGCACCACGTCCTACCGACCCCAGCACACCCGTCCTGCCTCAGACGCCGACCCCGGCCCAGCAGTAACCCCTGCCGTCCCTGATGCGGCCTCTGTTCCTGAGTGCGGACCCACACACCCCTCTTTTCTCCCTCAGGTACTCCCTGCTAATGTCCTGCACCCTGCTGCTGTTGTGGACCCAGCTGCTGTCACGAGCCCTCATCCGCTGCTGCTGACACAGCCCCTGCTCCTGACCCAGGCCCACACACCCCAGCAGGCGCATCTGGCGACTCTGTACCTGCCGTGAGGGAAGCACAACATTCATCGCCTCCACACACACTTATTCTCCCTCTCTACTCCCACAGATATTGTGTATCTAGACAGTTGTCCCCAGCGACCGGCTCATCCACGCCATCGCCGTTGTCTCACATGAGGCACGCACCGCCCGTTCTGCCTCACATGTGCTATGCAACTCTGCAGACAACAAGTCTCCTACACCGCCTGGAGGGAAGGGGGAGTATTGTAGTGGAATTCTCCCCTACAAACGCTGTTTGTCGCTGCCTAGCCGACCCCACCAATTCCCCAGTGTATGCCTCGTGGTCTAGGTCAACCAGCGCCGCCATACACCACGGAGCGGGGGTCAACTGCTAAGCCACGCCTACCCCCGCTATTTAAGACCTGACCTCGTGGTGATCTGTCTCTCCTTCTACCTACACCAACCAGCCAGCAACACCTCCGCCTGCCTGGCGGTCCTCTCTCCCGCTGGCGAGCATGGCGACCCACAAGCTGTCCTTCTCTGAGCGTCCTCACCAACCAGCTCTCTACATCACGCTTGTAACCATGCTGCCTTCCCAGCACCAAGCTGCATTGTACATCCAATACAACATGCATATAGAGAGCACATTGTGAGTTTCCTTTCTCCATCCCATCCTGAGTGTGAACCAAACAATCTCATACCCCACAGGTGACATAGATGGCGCGGGTGGCAGCATCACTCCGCTAGTTGCTCCTCCGGGTAAACAACGCCCTGGTCACTCAGGTCGACGCCATTTTGGTTGCACGGAAGATAATTGTCAAGAGCTTCAAGCGTCCCGTGAACTTATACAGGATACAATATATTCTGGTGATACAGCCCCGTGAATGTATACAGGATACAATATATTCTGGTGATACAGCAGGGAGGTTTTAATCTTTCTGACTCGCCCATGATGTACAGCAACAGTAGAACAGGAGCTGCTGTGCACCGGCCTATTGCACAATGTAAGTCCACTTAACCAAGGTTAATTTAGGGAAGTCATCCAAAGAGTATTTCCATTATGGTCCGCGATAAATAGATCCTTAGTCATTAAAATTACCATCCACTTTTGTGTTGCCAAGGTGTAGAAAACGGCTACCACCAAAAGTTGTTTGTTGATTTTGGTATACTAATTGTTTTGATTATTTTAAGTATATTAATAGAGATGACAACTTTCTATTATGATTTTAAGTATATTTTTGTTATTTACTCTATCCCGCTCCTCCCGGCGCCATTTTTGTTGTTTATCTCTCGCTAATTCCCTCGTTTCTATAAATATTATTGGTGACTCTTCCACGTATTCCTCCTCGCCATTGCTGATTTATATCAACCTTAAGTTGTTTAACACATAAATTAACACGATAATGCATAGAACCTGACCTAACATACCCAACCTATGGGTATGTTAGGTCAGGTGTTCTCTGCATATTGTCGCTTCCATTTTTGTGTTTAATATGATAGTAAATTTGTATAAGCGCACCCAACTTTGTTGGAAGTCAAAAAATAAATTTTTCAAGTGTATTTGTGTGTGTTTAGATCGGTTATGACCTTCATTTCCGTCGGAAATTTTCCGTTTTTTTTTCTCAACTTTTTGTTGTTGGGGCGTTTTCCGAAAAAAAAATAATGGCTAAGCAAATACAAAATGAAAAAAAGAAAACACTAGAAAAACATAAACCAAACCTAACCTAACTGACTCACCATGTGATGGAATCACTAATTCTTACCCTATTGGCCTGGTTCTCGTGCGTCATTGGAGTTACCACAATGCCTCATATGTTGGTCTGGACATTTACATTCGTTCTTGCACTTAAGACACTTTACTGAGGTCGGGAGAACACCATGAGATCGATAAATTGCTATAATTTCTTCTTTTTAAAAAAAAAATGAATTAACTCCATATAATTGAAGTGACACCCATCGCAGACTTCCATGGTCAGAAATGAATTTGAATTTCGAAATATGAGACTCGAAATAAAAATCAATTTTGATTGGCCCAAAAATACCTTTAATTAAACCAAAAATCATTTTAATTGGTTGCAAAAAAAAAAACCCTCTTGATTGGCCGCGTGACGTGTACGGGAACACATGCGCGTGATGATTTATGAAGGAGACACGCTGTGTGGGAGGTGAGGTAGACGATAATGGTGGAAGATTAATGGAAGAAAATAGAGAAAATTTTGGATACTCTATCTCCGTTATTATACATTTGTGTCGGTAATGTAATAGATAAAAATTATCTTGTAATTAGACGTCTTGTATGATACTAGATTAGGGGTAGGAATGTCCGGTGCAAAAGTGTAATAATACCAATATGATGTTAGTGTGTAGAAAAATTTCAACCAATTCAGACAAGTCCTTCTGGTGGTAGCCGTTATCTACACCTTTACCTTTTGCACCAATACGCTGCCTCGTCAAAGAAGAGAACATTCAAGGTGATACTCTCTATTTTTTAATAGATTTTATGTTCGTTAGCTCGTGTTTATTAACTATTTAAAGGTAAATTTATGGCTAGTTCTGTGATGCAAACACCATCAATTCTTCGGCTTTTTCAATCAATTAAATGGTACTATGATTTCAGGCTTGATGATGATGATGATGATGTAGGAGATATTGAAGAAGCTGTTGGTGATAATTATGAAGTGGCAATGGTGAGATGACCTGGTGAAATGAGAGATGAACCCTCGTCCTCCCTGTGGTGAAATGAGAGGAGATGATCCCTCGTCCTCCCCGTGGCGAGATGACCTGGTGAAATGAGAGATGAACCCTCGTCCTCCCTGTGGTGAAATGAGAGGAGATGATCCCTCGTCCTCCCCGTGGCGAGATGACCTGGTGAAATGAGAGATGAACCCTCGTCCTCCCTGTGGTGAAATGAGAGGAGATGAACCCTCGTCCTCCCTGTGGTGAGATGACCTGGTGAAATGAGAGATTAACCCTCGTCCTCCCTGCGTCGCCTCAGTAGGTAAGAGCAACCTCTAAATTATATGTTAACATTTTATATAACTCAATAATTATATCAGTAAGTTTGTTTAGCACATAATTTTTTGTTATTTATGATGAAAATATTTATATAGTTTATTCTTGTTTACCTTAACTAACTAAAACTTTATTACCATGAAATTGGGTAATTTGGTGACGTACTTAATTCAGTGTTAATGTCTTATATTTAACATAAACCAAACCTAATATATCAAACTTTGTCATACTTGAAGGTAAGGTATTGTAAGATGGTTAGGTTAGGTTGGGTTTGGTTTGTTAGGTTAAGTTTGGTTGGTCGGGTTAAGTTTGGCTGGTTAGTTTGTTTGGTTTGTTAGGTTAAGTTTGGTTGGTTGATGATTTGTGGCTTTTAGACAGAGTTGTAAAGTAACAAAATAAATGTTACTTGAGTATTGTACTCGAGTAACATTTTTGGGTGTTTACTTTTTAAAAATTACGACTACAGGTTGTACCACTCTATAGTCCGGCATTCTGTGGTCCGGAACGATTTTAGTTTGTCCAATAGGTAGATAGGCAGTTATTTTTTTTTTTTTACAAATCTGAATTATTATTATTATTACAGGAGTATTAAATTTTTGCCCCTCAGGCCCCAATGTGGGTCAGTGACCTATGCCCTGGTGGGCTAATCCCCTTAAAAAAAAAGCAGCGAGAAATTAAGGTTTGTTTATATCCGGCAGTTCGGTTGCTCTCTCTCTCTCTCTCTCTCTGCTTGTCTATACAGAGTACAACATTTAACCCTTCAATATATATGAGGCAGTAAATAAGTGTTGCTTTCATATTCTTATGTAGAGTAATGACGATATATTTTCACATGTGCGCACTTACATACGAGCAGTCTCACTTTTTTTTTTTTTTACCATTAATGGTTAGCTACTTATATTGTTCCATTTATTAACATTAAATAACATTACAGGTACTTCAAGCAACCATATTAATTTTTTACATTAATTTTACTACAGCTAAACTCAGGGTCTTATTTTCTTCAGTTTTATATGTAGAACCAATCAGTTACTGGTTTCGTAAGCTTTAACATAAACAATGCCGGCAGCCGTCTCGTCTCCTCTAATATTCCACGTATTATTAATAAATTGTATTGTTAATTTTGCACACACGTACATTAATTTAATAAAAACAAATTCAGAAACATTAATTAAAATATATATGAACAGTAAATAAGTGTTGCTTTCATATTCTTATGTAAAGTAATGACGATAGGTTTTCACGTGTGCGCATGCGCACTTACATATGCGATCTCTCTTTTTCTTTACCATTATCGTTAGCTACTTCTATTGTTCCATTTATTAACATTAAATAACATTACTTAAAACAACCATATTAATTTTACTACAGCTACAACCAAGGTCTTATTTTCTTCAGTTTTATATGTAGAACCAGTCAGTCACTGGTTTTGTAATCAACGAAAACAATGCTTTGTCATTTCCTCGTGTGTTTTAATATTCTACGTATTATTAATGAATTGTATTGCTCATTTTGCACACATAAACATTAATACAATAAAAAAGACATTCAGTAATAAACAATAATGAATCTTTTGTACATAAGAGAAATGACGCTGTTTACACGATTATGCACGTCGTCTGCACGTTGGCGGGCCGTTCAAACCCGTCGAAATTTAAGTTTCCGCCGTCAAAATTTTTATTTATTTATTTTTTTGTGTGTTCCAATAAAATACATTAAGAATTAAAAACTCACGAAATTTGAGAAGGTACTATACAACATTTAACCCTTCAATATGTCTTCAAAGAGACCATGACGCAGAGAAAGTGGTGCTAGTGCTTCCAGGCATAAGCACAAGTCACTATCTATCCAGGAAAAGGGTGAATTTCCATGGTCCGGCACCGGTCAGGTCCCGACGTTGCCGGACTAGAGAGGTACAACCTGTACTTGGAAATTATAAATAAAATAATTTGTAGAATTTTCTGTGGCCAAAAATACTGTTTTATTTTAAATCCCAGTCAAATAACCTGTGGTTATTAAGCCGGATACTGGTCAAATAACCCCTGCCTATAATATAATAGTTTTACAGTGCAGTGTTGTGTATTATACAGTACATAGAGTTATTTTTCTTATTTCCAGGAAGTTTCAAGGACCAACAACACATCTCGGTATGACAAGCTAAGACTCTACTAAACAAACTGATGAAACACCTCTGACCTGTGGGACACACTTGTATGTGATGCCATCAACAGCAACTGATGAAACACCTCTGACCTGTGGGACACACTTGTATGTGATGCCATCAACAGCAACTGATGAAACACCTCTGACCTGTGGGACACACTTGTATGTGATGCCATCAACAGCAACTGATGAAACACCTCCGACTTGTGGGACACACTTGTATGTGATGCCATCAACAGCAACTGATGAAACACCTCTGACCTGTGGGACACACTTGTATGTGATGCCATCAACAGCAACTGATGAAACACCTCTGACCTGTGGGACACACTTGTATGTGATGCCATCAACAGCAACTGATGAAACACCTCCGACTTGTGGGACACACTTGTATGTGATGCCATCAACAGCAACTGATGAAACACCTCTGACCTGTGGGACAATGTGATGCCATAACAGCAACTGACCTCCGACCTGGGACACACTTGTATGTGATGCCATCAACAGCAACTGATGAAACACCTCTGACCTGTGGGACACACTTGTATGTGATGCCATCAACAGCAACTGATGAAACACCTCTGACCTGTGGGACACACTTGTATGTGATGCCATCAACAGCAACTGATGAAACACCTCTGACCTGTGGGACACACTTGTATGTGATGCCATCAACAGCAACTGATGAAACACCTCCGACCTGTGGGACACACTTGTATGTGATGCCATCAACAGCAACTGATGATGAAACACCTCTGACCTGTGGGACACACTTGTATGTGATGCCATCAACAGCAACTGATGAAACACCTCTGACCTGTGGGACACACTTGTATGTGATGCCATCAACAGCAACTGATGAAACACCTCTGACCTGTGGGACACACTTGTATGTGATGCCATCAACAGCAACTGATGAAACACCTCTGACCTGTGGGACACACTTGTATGTGATGCCATCAACAGCAACTGATGAAACACCTCTGACCTGTGGGACACACTTGTATGTGATGCCATCAACAGCAACTGATGAAACACCTCTGACCTGTGGGACACACTTGTATGTGATGCCATCAACAGCAACTGATGAAACACCTCTGACCTGTGGGACACACTTGTATGTGATGCCATCAACAGCAACTGATGAAACACCTCTGACCTGTGGGAGGTGAGACTTATACAGGTATTCTGTTACTTAACATCATGTTGTCTAATGCTTGTGTTTATGTACTGTACAGTACTGTAGTATTTAAAACATGAATTACACTTTGCCAGTAAATTATAAATCCTCTTTATATATGCCTTTTCTCAAGAATATCGGCTAACTTTATAATTTAAGCATTTTATCATTCACTTTCCAGAAAAGAAAACATCCAGTAACAGTATTCCCAATCAAAATTCCTGACCCCTTATCTTGTGTTTGAGTACATGAGGGCATGGCATAGATTTTGTTTAAATTTCATACAAAGATGCTCTTTTATATGCTGATTAAGAATATAGATTTAAAATACACAATCGTGTATTCCTCTGAAAGTGTGCATTTATGTAAATGTTTATAAAAGAGTGTGTGTGTTCATATGCATTTGTGTTTGTTTAAAAGTGTGTGTGTGTTTTGTATAAATATTTGAATGTGTTTTAGTGTAAAAGTGTTAGTGTTAAGTATACAAGCACTTGTGTAACATCAGGTATAAAAACAAATGTCAAGATTAGTTATTGCTTAAACTTGACTCAAAATTAACCTTTTGGCCACCCACTAGAGGTGGTCATTGAATTGAATTGAAACAGTTTATTAGCCAGAAAAACACAGATCCAGAGTGGATAATAATAACAATATTAACATGGCTGAGCCAGTTGAGAACCTGAGCTGCACCTGATTATAGTAATATACTATACATTTATCTCAAGGAAATATTATGTAACATTTAGTATCATCTGGAATAGTACAATAACATGGTGGTAATAAGAACATCTCATAATGTTACCACGGTTATCACTTCAATATACCTCAGTGTTCACAAGAGAGGATGCAACTAACCTTCCTGCGTTTGAGGACAGACGGTTCGACACAGCACTGACCCACATTGTGTTCACAGAAGAGGGTATTAGAAATAAACTGTCCAGGCTAAAGGTCCATAAGAGTCCTGGACCTGACATGGTGCATCCTAGAGTGCTAAGGGAGCTGTGCAACGAGCTTGCAGAGCCCCTGAAGATTCTGTTTTGTAAATGCCTGGATGAACAAATGGTCCCCAGTGAATGGAAAGTGGCTTATGTGAGTCCTATCTTCAAGAAGGGCGATAGTCACTCCACGAACAACTATAGACCGGTGAGCCTGACCAGCATAATATGTAAGGTACTTGAGAGTATTATCAGAGATGCAGCGATGGAACATCTACTACGAAACAACCTTGTAAAAGATTGCCAACACGGTTTTATGCCGGGGCGCTCTTGCTTGACACAATTGCTCAAGGTATTGGATATTTGGACCCATATTCTAGAACGGGGTGGTAATATCGACAATATTTACCTAGATTTTGCCAAGGCTTTCGACAGTGTACCCCACGAAAGGCTGAAAATCAAACTGGAAGGGTACGGAATTCGGGGAAATGTCCTAGCGTGGATAGAAGACTTTCTACATGACCGCAAGCAATGTGTGGTGATTAATGGCACGAAATCGTCATCTGTACCTGTAACAAGTGGGGTACCGCAGGGTAGTGTATTGGGCCCGCTGTTGTTTGTTTGTTTCATAAATGATATGCCTGACGTTGTACACTCCTCCATACAAATGTTTGCCGATGACGCCAAGTTATTTCGGGAAATTAAGAACCAAGCGGACTGTGAAGAGCTGCAGAAGGACCTCTGTGGGCTCCAGGAATGGTCGAAGGAATGGCTGCTGAGATTCAATGTCACGAAGTGTAAGAGGATGCACCTGGGGCGTACCAACGGTAAGGAGGCGTACCATATGTCCCAACGGGATGAAGAAAATGTACTAGTTGAGACTGTGTGTGAGAAGGACCTAGGTGTGTATGTTGACAATGAGCTGAAGTTCTCGGGCCATTGTGAGAAGAAGGTAAATCAGGCAAATAAATTATTGGGTCTTATAAGAAGGTCGTTCAGATATCTAGACGGTCCGTCCCTCGTGACGATCTTCAGGAGTGAAGTGCTTCCCCATCTGGAGTACTGTCACCCCATCTGGTCCCCGAGATATGCTAGGGACTGTCAGTTGGTTGAAAATGTTCAAAGGAGGGCCACCAAACTGGTGCCTGCACTTCGGCACCTCAGCTACCCTGAGAGATTGGAGCGCCTGAACTTGCCTAGCTTATACTACAGACGGGCAAGGGGGGACCTAGTTGAGGTTTATAAGCATCTCAGGGGGCACTACTCAGTTGAGTGTCCTTACTTGGAGCTGGCGGACGCTCGCCCCACAAGGGGTCACAGCTCAAGATTGAAGAAGCCGCAAGTCCAGAAAACCGTGAGGGCAAACTTTTTCGGAGTGAGGGTTGTAAACTCTTGGAACAATCTACCAGAGAGTGTTGTGACGGCACCGAGTGTGAGCTCTTTCAAGAGAACACTTGACCAACACTGGAGCGGGTTCAGGTACATTCAGGAGCCGGTGCATGCCCAGTATTTGCCAACAGTGCGTGACAGAGACGTGACCGATCGCCCGGGCGGCTAGCGAGCCGACCTTTTGGTGAAGAATATAAAGGAAAAGAGACGTGACCGATCGCCCAAGCGGCTAACAAGCCGATCAGTGGCGAAGAGGATAAAAGTAAAAAGTAAAAGTATATATATTATATATATATATATATATATATATATATATATATATATATATATATATATATATATATATATATATATATATATATATATATATATATATATATATATATATATATATATATATATATATTACCCTATACAGTATACATAAATTACAGTGAAATTGAAGAACATAAGTATAATGGGGGAGCAGTACAGTATGGGTTGTACGGATGTAAGGTTGAACAAGAGGACAGAGCTGTCAGGATTATGTCTAGTTGGCAAATACAGCTACTCCTCGACTTACGACCGCCCGGACATACGACCGCCCCAGTCGTACCAAATTTTTTCAAATTACATCTTTTCGAGTCCCGACGTTAGTGATTGCACTGTATACTGACAAAACAATTTTTTGTAATTCCATTTTAAATTTCTGGCATGCTTAAAGTTGGAGTTTTGTGGTGCTGAGAAGAAAAAGAGACACCCATTTTAGATTTTCTATGTATCATCACATTTTTTACTTATGACCAATTCGACTTGCAACCTGGATTTGGGTCCCTAACCCCATCGTAAGTCAGCAGTGGCTGTATGTTTATTGCAATGATAATTTCCGATAAAACGGTTTTGATGGTACAATAAAAGCTGGTATTGTAAATATACAGCTCCTCCCCGACTTAGACGGGGTTATGGACCCAAATCCAGGTCGTAAGTCTAAAATGCTTAAATAATACATAGAAAATCTAAAATGGGTGTCTCTTTTTCTTCTCAACATCACAAAACTCTCAACTTTAAGCTTGCCAGCCATTTTAAAGTGAATTACAAGCAAAAATTTTGTCTGTACTGACATTGGGACTCGAAAAAACGTAATTTGACAACATTTTGGAACGACTGAGGCAGGTCGTAAGTCGGGGAGGAGCTGTAGTAGGTATTGCAAGAAATATTAATACTTAGACAAAACTGTATATATTTTTTAAGAGATGATTTAAAGGTAGGGAGTGTAGTCTTTGCTCGGATGGGTGGGGGTAAGTTCTTTCACACCGTGATATTTTATGGAGGTCTGGGACTGAGAGGAGCACATTGGTGTGTGTGTGTGTGTGTGTGTGTGTGTGTGTGTGTTTTTTTTTTTTTTTAACGTTTATTGAAAAAGTTCTGCAGCCCGAAGGCTGAAAATATACATTGGGCATAAATGACTTATTACATACAATGGTGGTTTAACAAAAGCCTTCATTAGAGAAAGGTAAAGGAACATACAGTGAACATACAGATTAATGTAGGTGTTGAACAGCAAAAACGTAGTGTAGTAACTCCCTCCCAGATGGTGTTAGGAGGGACCTCACGTGGTGTAGTAGTTCCCTCACAGATGGTGTTATGAGGGGCCTCAGGTAGCCCACGTGGTGTAGTAATTCCCTCACAGATGGTGTTATGAGGGGCCTCACGTGGTGTAGTAATTCTCACAGATGGTGTTATGAGGGCCTCACGTGGTGTAGTAATTCCCTCACAGATGGTGTTATGAGGGGCTTCACGTGGTGTAGTAATTCCCTCACAGATGGTGTTATGAGGGGCCTCACGTGGTGTAGTAATTCCCTCACAGATGGTGTTATGAGGGGCCTCACGTGGTGTAGTAATTCCTATGATGAGGGCCTCACGTGGTGTAGTAACTCCTTCACATATGGTGTTATGAGGGGCCTCACGTGGTGTAGTAATTCCCTCACAGATGGATGTTATATGAGTGAGGTGTGGTTCCAGGCCTTCCTATCGTAGACGGATTAACACATCGCTGGTAGTTGGGTCTCACGGGCCGTTATCACTGGGTACCTGGGACCTCACTGTGTGAAAGGTCAACTTGGGTACCACTGTTACTGTTGAGTTGTTCTCACTGACTTAAGCACTGTTCACCACTGTTCACCTCTGTTTAACACTGGCTCCATTTCTTTCCTAAATGAAATAGTAACTTCTGGCGTGAACTTGTTGATATTCCGGTGGGGAGGAGGGTTCAGGGGAGGGAGTTGGTTTGGGCCAACATAACAGTTGACCTGGCTGCTCCGAGAGGAGCGCCAGGTACGTCTTGACCCTTCGTTAGCCGCTTGGGCGATCGGTCATTCTCTGATTACTTTTCCTTTTCATTTATCCTCTTCACCAAAAGATCGGCTCGCTAGCCGCCCGGGCGATCGGTCACGTCTCTGTCACGCACTGTTGGCAAATACTGGGCATGCACCGGCTCCTGAATGTACCTGAACCCGCTTCAGTGTTGATCAAGTCTTGTCTTGAAAGAGCTCACACTCGGTGCCGTCACAACACTCTCTGGTAGATTGTTCCAAGAGTTTACAACCCTCACTCCGAAAAGTTTGCCCTCACAGTTTTCTGGACTTGCGGCTTCTTCAATCTTGAGCTGTGACCCCTTGTGGGGCGAGCG